AAAAGATTCTTAGAAGAAAAGACTGTGAGAAACCTTCAAAAGATTCAAAGTTGTGAGAGAAGATAGCACACTACTGCCTAGCAGAAAGTAAGACATACAAGCAAAGAAAGGCATTGTCTAGGCTGGAGATAACGGAAGGCAACAGTGAAAAAAAGTCATCGAAGCATTTCTACACACCGATGGCGAGGCCTGAGCGCGCCCTACTTCCAAGGCGCTGGGGCTGCGGGCGATGCCTCGCGCTCTCACGCGGGCCCGTCCACTCATGTTCCGGAGTCCAGAGTGGCTTCAAGAGCAGTGAATTCCCAATTAGGGCGTCAATTTGGCGTCCAGATGGCGAGGTTTGAGGACAGGTGGTGGGTCTCCCGTCGTTCTATACTGGTGGGTGGGCGGCGGGGGCGAGCTTAGCCTGCGGGGTTTCCGAGGCGGGAAGCGCGCGGCGCCGGGGTACGGCAGGGGCTCCTTGCGGATCCCACGGTGCATGTCAGTGGTTAGCCCCCGGGAGCGGACCGGGACTACACGCGCCCTTAGAGTGCCAGCCCACCATAAATTTCCACTCCCCCTCTGCCGGCCCCCACCCCGCGCAATGCTTCCTATGCTTTGTGCGCAGGGTCCCTGCCGGGCTTCCCACACCTTGCGCAGCCCAGCGCAGGCCATGGACTGGGAACAGCCGCTGCTTCTCCTGGCGCCCTTTGACCAGAGGACCTCCAACTCCCCAGTGTGCCCCAGGGACAGAATCATATAGTTAACTGAGGCTCTTGGCGCTCTGACCTGAACTTGACCTCTCCACAGACTACCCAGATCCAGAGCAACAAAGTTTAACTGAGAATCTGGGAGTTGTAAATTGACCTAGGGGGGCGTGGGCGGAGGCGACCTATTTTTGTGGTTCTTATTTAATTTCACCTTCAAAGAGCATTTTCATTTTCAAAAGAGCGTGTTTGATATGAGCAGACACGACAAAAGTAGAAACAAACCTTAACAGAATGGGGGGCCCTTGGCAAAGGACACTGTGGACTACAAATTCCCCAGCCCACCCAAATTTTAATCGTGCTGAACTCTTAAACTGAAAATCAAAAATGGCTTTGAATGGAGCGAGAGTAATGACAGTTACCAATAACTGAACCTTAGGGCCTCTCCATATATGTTATTGCTAGCTTCAGAGCAACCCTGTAAGGATATTTTTACTTCTAATTTGTGGAAGAGAAACTGACAGGAAAGAGACGGTGTTTAAAGGCAGCCTGCCACTCTAAGCGTCTCGGATCTTTTTCTATAAATGTAATTTTATATTATTTATACATATAATTCATATATAGAGAAATATATTCATAATATTATATAATTTTTATCTAAGTATAATTGAGCTAATCTAGGACACCTACCCAAGAACTGGATTGCTAGGTGAAAGGGTACACGCTAGACACTGCCCAGGACTGTGCAGTTCACACTCACA